AATCTTAATTTCCTTCAAAGATTTTTTTTTTTCTTGGAATGTTAAGTGTTAATGGCAATAACTGTCAGGCACTATATTGGTGGAGAAACTCTTGAAGACTATCTTCTTTTCAGCTTCCAAAAGGTATGTGAGCAAATCTCACATGAAAGAAAACTGAAAAAAATGTATCTCTAAAACTACCAACCCCACTCAAATAGTTATTCGTACTCCAGTAGCACACAGGAGTCATTGCGCATAGTCCAACTGCCTTAAATACTGTATCAAAACAACAAACACCAGCTGCTTCTCACATTTATATTTAATATTTATTAAAATTATTTATATTTAATAACATCTATAGGTCCTATATAACAGAGAGGGCTTGGTCAAAACAACGGGCAGATAAAGGTTTACTGAAATATGTATAGGAGTGTTTACATTAAATAGTCTCATGTTTTGGGTTTCAGATAAACAAATATTTCTTAAACATTTTTATTATCTTAGTGACTGTGGAATTATTGTGGTAGGGATGTGATTTTTCAAATAGGAACGTGCAGAAGCAATTTCAAAAAGAACAATAAATACAATCTTAGATGAAAGATTTTCACACAAGCTCTCCTAAACCCAAATAGCAAACAATAAGCCATCAGATGCACATTCATCTAGGAAAAATCTTCCATTTAAGACTCTACCAAACCTCTTTGCTAGCCATTTACTACCACAAAGTCTAAATTGTTTATTTAAACAGCTGCAGGAGGAACAGATGAAGAGGCTGACGAACGCTCATTAGCTCTGTTCTGTTGACTTTCCCAAGACAGGGCAATCTCCTTTAAGGGGCAGGTAACAGCTTAAACTACACCAAGGTGCCTGAAAAATTAACATTTACCTAAATTCTCAGGATTATTGTTGCTCTACTGAATGATTAAAACAATTATCTGAAGCCTAATGAGTTATTTCTGTTTGGAAAGGGAAGTGATAGAACAAATTACTACTTTGACACAATTTTGTTTATTTACAGTGAGTGGACATACATTCCTCTTTCTCTGAACACTGCTGGAATAAACTGCACTTTCTCTGCACAGTAGTGTAAACTTGTCTTCCCACCTACTAATGCTCTTTCCCAAAATGTGCTCTTTTTTTTTCCCCTTCGTCCCAAGCCTCCTTGGACAAACATGGCTACTAAAACCTCTTTTTTGTGTCTTTATTTTCCAAGCTGCTTTCTGAGGCTGTGGACAGATGTGCTAATCCAAATCCAAAAGAGGTTTATGTGAGTGAATCCCAATTGTTTAGCACAGGTCATCAATTCAAACTACGTAAGTTGACTGCATTGGCACAAATTGCTCTGCTGACAAACATCTGCAGATAACAATATGCAAATAGGAATGCATCAGAAGCTAGCATTGATGACTTCCACCAAAAATCCCTGAATCCAGAAACGGGTGTCTGCCCAGAGCTTGATACTTATCAGTATAGACTCTAGGCCCCTTGCTTCTTCCTCTCTCCTGTGTAAAAAGCTCCTTCTTGCTGAGATGCCACCTGTTTCTGAACTATTCTCTGACAGAGGTAACCACATAACTGCACAGATAGAGAAGAGGGTGGACAAAAAGCTGCTTCAGCTGGCATTCTCATAGGAAGAAAGCTCATTAATTAAACTTCATCTTTTACACGACCAGCACTTTGGAACTCCTGGGTCACTGGTATTGCCCAACACAGAAGCTGCAATCCCTTACAGCCAACATCAGTGACAGCAAGTGTTCCCACCAACTTCACCTAAGTCTGAGATCCCATACAAACTTAAAATATGAATGCTGGCAGCTTCCAACATTCTCCAACCCCTGAAATATTGTTCAATAAAACAAAACCTTTTAAGTTTAATATCTGCCCTTTTCAAGATGTCTTAAACAAATAATCACTAACACAAGCAGTGTTTCATTTGCTAGTGCAACCGGTCCAACTTCTGCCAATATTCTTTGTGCTGATAACCTAAACATTTCATAAAATAAAAATTAATCTTTGAAATGCCTATATACAGGTTGCTCTGGAGTCCTATTCTTGTGTCCATCCCAATAAGGCTACTTAATTCTTAATTATGCATAGATAATGTAACTTGTGTTTATATTTATATACGGTACAAACACAAAGAATGTATGCAGGAACAAGAATACGAAGAAATATCTATTTCCAAAAACTAATCATAGCTGATTTATAAACAAAGAGAGAAAGAAATCAGCAGTATATTGAAGTTTACTTACAAAGCTTTGTACTGAGCCTTACTCATAAACAGTACCAATATCAAAAGCACTAAGCCTGACTAATGATTTCCTCTTCTATGTGGATGCATGAACTTCTCTGAATGCTTATTTCTTCTGTCATACATTTGAAAGCACTTGATCAATTTTTAGAACTAAACCACTACAACAACAGTTCCTTTGACTGCTCTTTGATCTAATATAATAACTTCAGCAGCTACATTAATCTAATGATTAAGTTTGCAATTAGGTAGTTGTTCTTCTGTGTTTTAAGGTAGAGTGGGTAGACTTTGCTCTTCATTCTGTAACTACTGCACAAATAATTTTTTTTAGCAAGTGAAATTGTTCTAAGGTTATTGGGCTTTGGCAATTCAGACCCACTTTCCCATTTCTCTCCTCTTTAATTCAGCTTACTCAGTAAAACTATTCTGAATAATTTCGTTTTACTTCTAATGTGTTTTGCTTCCTAGTTTCCAAACAAGTTTGTAACTTTGAATGCAAATAGTTGCAAAAAAACCCCAAAGTTGTTTTCAAAATATAGAATCATAGAATGGTTAGGGTTGGAAGGGACCTCAAAGATCATCTAGTTCCAACCCCTCTGCCATGGGCAGGGACACCTTCCACTACACCAGGTTGTTCAAAGCCTCATCCAACCTGGCCTTGAACACTTCCAAGGATGGGGCATCCACAACTTCTCTGGGCAACCTGTTCTAGTGCCTCACCACCCTCTAAGTGAAAAATTTCATCCTTATATCTAATCTAAATCTGCCCTCTTTCAGTTTAAAGCCATATCTGAATGCATCTTTTAGAGGAAATACAACTCAAGTTAGGGTTTATGTATCTTACGTTCTCAGTTAGTCCTAAAATTTTAACCAAAATTAAGATGCTAGTGAAATTTACTATGGTTCCTTTCATTTGATTTGCCACAGTGCTTGCTGTATACTGACCTATTTATTCTTCTCTGAATACATACTCTGTATACTACAGTAAATATATAAAGCAGAACAGTTTTCAATTTACGGTTATCTCTCCCAGACATTTTATTAGATGCTTGCTAAATATTCAACCATAGTATACATAGTTATGTCAGTGGTTAAGAGATGAAAGCCTACATTACTTCACTCAGGAAATGAAGTGCAGGTTTCGGTCCTTTCATTGCAATATCCTTCAGTGCATGGAACATAAATGTTTTTGCAGTGGATTGTTCAACAAGCGAGTGATGCAATGGCTTACACAGCTAAGCCACTGTATGATTTCTAAGGCCACAGGGTTAATACATAGTGATAAACTATTCAGTTATAATTGTAGCTTTCATGCCAGTTAAATTGAGCACTCTGAATATTACACAGTTAAAACCTGCTCTGTCATTTAACAGAAATTTGAATTTTGATTCCCCTGAAATCTAACTGCTTCAAAATCTATTAAGTTATATTATCCCACAGCAAAAATCAAATCCACGGGAATTTTAACACTGATAAAATTAAGCCAAACATACTGGGGAGTAAGAAAGGTAAGAAATCTTCAAGAAAGTTGTACATAAAAAAGCATCGCCTCATAGAAGACAATTGCCCAGTGACCAATTCTCAATTGTAGTTGATAAGTAAGTAAAAATGTAATGAGGACCATTTTTCAAATAATATATTTTTTTTTTTTTTTTTTTCCCCCACAAAGTAAATCATGCTAATATGATGGAAGTTTCTTTAAATTCAAGTTTGAGTTTTCTAGACTTCTTACAGTCATTACTGTCTGGAAATCTTAGGTGATAAAAAGAAGGATCAGTGGGACCATTTTTTATGATCTCCAATACAACACAGGGTGAAGGACTTCTCTGAACTATGGCAATCCTCACTCCTTGCTTTAAAAACTCTGGAACAAATTTCTATCATGTCATTAAAACATCATGAGTTTTCCGCATGAGAAGCTAGCCCACAATCAAAAAGGATATAATCCGAAATATTCCAGTGCGAGAGTGTTAACAAATGCCGGTGTTGCAGCTGCCCAGATTGCAGTGTAATCATTTTAAACAAAGATGAGAAGTGTAACAATCAAAAAATAAAGGGTAACATGACTGAATTTCCCCAGACCACAATATCTTTGATAGCTGTGAATTCCACCTCACCATTAGGGAAAAATAAAAAATGCTACTTAAATTAACATGTGTAAGGCAGTAACAAAGCCACACTTTACTAATTTCTACATGAAGTAATTCCTATATATTTAAGAATGTCTGGATTTAAAAACTTCAAATGACAGCAAATCTAGCTACATACTGTAGCGAACTGGTAGACAGTTCTGCCTACACAGTTTCAGTCTAGGAATAACTTTTGGCTCCTAACAACAGTATA